GTAGACCTATTGCATACAGTATAAGAAAACCAGACCAAAACACAAAAACTTAACTATAACCACTGAACCATGAAAATGAGGTCAAGGTAAAATGACACCTGCCAGTTGGACATGTACACCTCACAATCCTTCTATACACCAAATATACTAGACCTATTGCTTATAGTATCCGAGATATGGACTTGACCACCAAAACTTAACCTTGTTCACTGATCCATGAAATGAGGTCAAGGTCAAGTGAAAACTGTCTGACGGGCATGAGGACCTTGCAAGGTACGCACATACCAAATATAGTTATCCTATTACTCATAATAAGAGAGAAATTAACATTACAAAAAATCTTAACTTTTTTTTAAAGTAGTCACTGAACCATGAAAATGAGGTCAAGGACAATGGACATGTGACAGACGGAAAACTCGTAACATAAGGCATCTATATACAAAGTATGAAGCATACAGGTCTTCCACCTTCTAAAATATAAAGCTTTTAAGAAGTTAGTTAACGCCACCGACGCCGCTGCCGGATCACTATCCCTATGTCGAGCTTCCTGCGAAAAGTCGCAGGCTCGACAATAAAACCATATAACTCGACTTTATTTAAAGTCTGATGGTTAGACTTGGCTGCCGTTATCCATGAGCTAGATCCGTATTAAAGATGTGGGCGTACATTTTCTTGGCCCCCGAGCACCCCTCCTTTTGTGGGAAAAATTTGGTTGACAATTAAGGGAACCACTGGAGCAGGCCCCCTCTTATGGCAGTCAGTGAGTCACCCCTTATGAAAATTTCAGGATCCGCCACTGAATGCCTTCAGTCAACTTGTTAGAGTTAAATAAATGAACACACTGTTATAAATTTTATCTTGTAATTGTTTAAACAACATGGCTTTTTACCCCAACATACCCAGATAAACAGTTTTAACACAATTTGATTTGAATGATTGATGATACTATTTTAGCATTTTGATGTTATTTAATTGAACTATCAATTCAATAAATGAATTTCGTTTTAAGCCAGTTTTTCATCATAACCTTTTCCTTTATTCACGTCTGCCGACGAGGAATTTTATTATTGTACAATTTTTATGCAATGCACTAAAAACAACATTCAGATTCCTTCGGCAATGTTTTTAAAAACATTTGAATACCTTTTTTATCAGTCAACATCCTACTAAGGTCTTTGTAATTTTAACTATAGTGTGAACGGACTGATATAACATTCAAATAAAAGTAACGGTATCTTAGGGAATTACTATCTATTTCAAGGAGGGGGGGGGGGGGGGGGGGGTATTGTTTTTCCTAAAAAAAAATCTGATCACCAATTTTATATATATAAAGAATATTGTAGTCAAGCAGATGACAAATAAAAAATATTCTGAAATCTAAAATCTTCTCCTCTGAAACTACTGGGGGTAAAATGCAAATTTTGTCTATTATTTGGAAAACCTTTATAAAATATCGGAACTGGTCTTCATATTTTATATACAGTACATTGATCCTGCGCTGACATTAAATAACTAGATGCTATAAAGAGCCTGTGTCGCTCACCTTAGTGTATATGCATATTCAACAAAGGACACTCTCCAACATTTTAGATAATAATAGAATTAATGACAAAAATCTCTGTTTTGCTGATCTTGTATTGCTGATCATTTTGTCTGTTTAGTTTCTCTCTATCTTCTTTAGGTTTTGCTCAAAACACAAAAGAGGGTAAAAAGATCCTCATATAAGGCCACTAACTCCTAGAAAGAGTGGCAGTCTACTAACTATATCGGCAAAATTTGACGTAATTGTTACTAGATCTTGTCCTGCTGATCATTTTTGCTTATTTAAGTTTCTATCTATCTATTATATTTTTTATCAAATAAGGCAAAATGCAAAAAAAATGGTAAAAATCATTAAAGGGAAATAACTCCAATTAGGAATTGTCGGACTATTTCCACCACATTGTCTTAATTGTAGATCTTGTCTTGCTCATCACTTTTGCTTATTTAATTTTCTATCTATCTTTCAAATTTTTTAAATGTTAGACAAAAACGCAAACAATTGGTAAAATCGTCATCAAAGGGCAATAACTCTAATAAGGAGTCGACTGACGATTCCAACCGTAAGACTTATTTGTAGAACTTGTCTTGCTGATCATTTTGCACTGTAAAGTTTCTCTCTATCTATTATAGTTTTCATGATAATAGGCAAAAATAACAAGAGGCTCATGAGAGCCTGATATCGCTCACCTGTAATTTCAGTTTCAGGCATTTGACTTATTTGTAGATCTTACTTTGCTGAACAATTTGGTCATTTACGCTTTCTCTCTTTCTATGATAATATAAAAGATAATACATAACCCAAAACTGTAAAATTTCCCGAAAAATTAACTATTTTTGGACAGTTACCCAACAATAAGTTGTCCTATTGGTCTGCAGATTATTTGACAGGTAGATATAAACCTGCTTAACCATTTCACTTATGTCAGTTTTGCTCTTACTGCTTTAGTTTTTGAGATGAAAGCCAAAAACTTCATTTGACCCCTATGTTCTATTTTTAAAAACTGCCGCCATGTTTTTTAATGGATCAAATCCCTGAATACAATATATAAACTAGATACCCTAAGGAACATTCAATCAAGATTTTTAAGTATTTGGCCAAGTAGTTTCAGAGAAGAAGAGTTTTGAAAAAGTAATTAGACTTTCACAAAAAATGTTAAAAAAAACTTTTTTTAAGGGCAATACCTCCTTAAGGGGTCAATTGACTATTTTGATCATGTTGACTTATTTGTTGATCTTACTTAGATGAACATTTATTGCCATATATACTATCTCTCTATTCATTATAATATCAAAGAAAATAACCAAAAACAGTAAAATTTAATAAGAATAAACTATTTCCAACAGTTACCCAACAATGGGTTGTCGAACTTGTCTGAAAATTTCATAACAGATAGACCATGACCCATTTATCACTTTAACTCCCTATCACTTTTGCTCTAACTGCTGTAGTGTTTGAGATGTAAGCCAAAAACTGCTTTTGTCTCCATATGTTCTATTTTTAGCCATGGCGGCCATGTTTGTTGATGGATCAAAACTTCGGATACAATTTACAAACTAGATACCATAAGGAACATTCAGTTAAAGTTTGAAGGTATTTGGCACAGTAGTTACAGAGAAAATGTACGCCCACATCTTTAATACGGATCTAGCTCATGGATGACGGCAGAAAAGTCTAACCATCAGACTTTAAATAAAGTTCAGAACCACAGGCACTACAGATCATCACAGGTGCTATGAAATCAACACCAATTAAAAGTATGGAGGAAATAACAAACATACTACCATTGAGTATGAGAAGGGCGTGCAAAGCCATGATACAGGCCACCAATATCAGTGTTCACAAGACCACCCAATGAATACACAGGCACTTGTCTCAGAAAAAAAAATTCCTATATACCTTAATATAACACGTGTTATAGCCCCTGCCTGAATCCGCCCCAGGCAGATGTAATGATTCAAAAGGTAGATAACTCCATCGAAATAAACTCTTCACTAAGCCAAGACTACTGCAGTGCTTTGATATAAATCAATATAGACTTTAAGAGTAATCTAACTTTTGACTAACTACATAAACATTTATCAATTTTGCCATTCAAAGGACATAACTCCGGTAGATTTTGAGAGTTGTATTCTGAATTCATTGTCATCAACAAAATTCTATTATTTGATTTATAGTTCCATGAAGATAGAAATCATTGCAACTGGGAAGTTAAAATATTTCAAATCTAATTTATTTAATTGTCTTTAATTAAGTTTTAAATGCAAGGCTAAATAAATATCTGTGCTTTTATGGTTAAATATGTGAAAATAGGGTTAATCGGTCAGTATTTATAATATTTTTTTTTACATATTATCACGATTATCATTAAGTCATTATTTAATCACATTTTGCAAAACTGTAATTTAATAAAACCATGTAAAATTATGACATCAGTTTTGTCTTCTTTGTATCTTTTCTAAATCTCTAAATACTTATCTTTGTTCTATCAATTTTTGAAGTCATTTACAAACATAATTTTGCCCAAAAATGGAATTAATTGGAATTAAAGTGTAAAGTTGTTGACTTAATTTCAAGTACCATTATTTATTTTGACTCCTATCAAATTACAACAACTTAAAAAAGTTTATATTAGAAAATGTAAAAAGAATTGTTGACAGATTTTTAAAAATATTATTTTTCTGCACCAGATATTGCATTCAATTTTGGTTTAACAGGGTTTTAGAAAACATTTTTGAAAAAACTTGTTCATTTCTGTAGACATGGTAGAAGATAAATCCAAAATAATGACAATTGATTAATTGAAGCCGCTCATACTGGCACTTTAATAGAGATAATTATAAAATTAATTTCTTTTGTGTAGGCATTAGTGTGTATTGATTATAAATCACTTCTTGCGGTCAATGACTACCAGTAATACAAAAATGGCTGAATATCAAAGTTAAAATTAAAAGCATACATATCAATTTGCTGAATTATCTTGTTTATAAAAGCCATAAAAATTGCTCTTCTTTTCAAGAATCTTCCACTTCAGACTGACAAAAGTCAAATATAATTTTCAATTTATATTTTGATAATAATATGTGTACGACTAACAATGCAGTATTTAATGATTCATTTGCACTTCAGACAGAAATTTCACAGAATATGCATCTCTTGGCACAGAATGTTGTTCTTTTCCAAATTTCTTACTATTTTGATTCTTTGGTATAATCGCAGTCAATAAAAGTAGTCTTGTCTGATTTTTATTGAAGCTGTAAAATCCAATTAAATGGTTTTCAAACTTTTCAAAATATGCCATATGGATACACTCCTTCTTTTGGTGCATTACTTGAATACCATCAGCCATTACAATGAACAGGTTTCCATGACAATCAAATGTAACAGCTCTCAAACAATCTGGGCTATATGACATGATTTCTGTACCGTCTTCTTTTACAATGAAAAATGTCCCATCTACCAATCCCAAGAAAGTGTTGTCAGGTTGTACAATGAAGGAATCAAATGATTTTTTTATATCAATTCTCTCTTGAATACAACAACCAAGAACATCATAAACTGATATGCAAAAAGGCCCATTATTTGTCTTTTTATAGCGAAGATAAATTCGTTTACCATGAGAGCCTACTTGCACTCCATATGAATGGTGTGAAACACTGTCAATATTTACAGACACTATTTTATCAAATTTTGCTTTGTAACAGCATATAATTAACTTTTTCTTATTATCTTCTATACAATATACAATAACTATTCTATCTGATTTTTGAATAGGTGTTATGCCAAATATTTTGCAAGAATGTGTAAATTTATCAACTGAGTAAAAACGAAAGCTCAGAAGATAATTCATGTTTTCATCATATTTGGCAACCTGTAAGACTGTTTTGTAGTTTCCATTGACCACCAATCTTAACATCCCTGCTACCAGTATATAATTATCATCTGTAACTGTGGCACAGTGTACTTCTAAAGACATATCATCTACACTTTCATTTTCTGCGAGGAAATCTTTAGGATAGATCCGTTTTTCTTTTTCTAATGTGACATTTAGAAAATCTTTGCCTTCAGTTCTAGATAAGCTCTCGTCAGGTTTAATAAAACCTTGTACACTTAATGGATGTGTAACTTTTTCAAAGTTGACAGACAAATATTATAATGATTTGATAGCCTCTATTTCATGACTGGCTTCATGCAATTCAATATTAACTCTTGAATTTGGTGGTATTTTCTGTAGCTTTTTCACTCTTTCTTTTTGTTTCTCTGTCTGCTTTTGTACAAATGAGTATAACTGACTTTCAGAACCATTGGAGGTTACAAACTCTAAGGCAGTCTGATCAGCTATGACTTCCTTCTCCATATTCATCAACTCGATTTTCTCCTCTACCGACTCTTCTTCTCCATCTTTATTTACAGCTGCAAGTTCACTTAACAAAACTTTTTCTAAATCATCTATATGCTGAATAAACTTGGACTTGATATTGGCTATTTCCTTCTTTATTTTCTGTACTTGATTTTTCAAATCTTCTTTTGACACTTTTCTTTCCTCAAGAATTTTGTGACTAATTTTGGTCATTTCTTTCAAATCATGGCCAAATTTTTTCAGCCAATCAGATTGCTTGATTCCCTTTGCTGCCATGTCTAGATGAGAGACATTTTTACAAGACTTATGACTACTTTGGAAGCATTGATGACAACAGATCAAATCATGATCCTTGCAGACCATATCTTGTCGTAGCTCTTCATGAATTTCACAGTTAGGTATGGACAACAGTTTATAATGTTCAGGCAATATTTGTTCTGTCATGTCGATTACGTGATGGTTCTTAGTAAGTTTAATAACTCTGTGATCCTCTAAACATTTATTACACAGACCCTCTTCACAATCACTGCACCAACTTGTAGATTTGGATTCCACATCCCGTCTACTGCATGGATTACAAAACATATTAAAATCGTCAACTTCCTGAAAAAAAAAGTTTTTATTGACCATATTGACATTTTTTATAAAATTTTTAAAATGAAACCAACGCTGGTTTTAAAAAATATGATGTACTGAAATCATGCAGAATTTTTAATTGTATTATTCTGAAACAATCCAGAACACCTATAGAGCTCTGTACAGTTTGTATGGTGCAGTGATTATGAACAGTTTGTGAATATAACCATTTATGGGACCTGTACAAAAATTCTTTTTTACTTGTTTACAATTAGCAAAATAGGAAAGGAGTAGAGACACAAAACCCTTAATTTGGCCCTAAAAATCGAGATGTGTTGAATTGAACAAGAGCGCACATGCTGAAATGTCTCGCCTACTTTACATTGATTTTATGTTGATAGTCCTTAATATAAAGTTTTTCAGACATATACATCTTGCATTCCATGCAAATACAGTTGACATATTGCTTATACTAGTAGTATCAAAGAAACAAACATATCCAGGAACATGTAACATTGACCAATGAACCATGAAAATGAGGTCAAGGTCAGATGATACCTGTCACACAGACATATATACACCTATACAATCATTCCATACACCAAATATAGTTGACCTATTGCTAATAAAGTTCAAGAAAAACAGACCAAAACACAAAAACTTAACATTGAGCAATGAACCATGAAAATGATGTCAACGTCAACTAAAACTTGCCAGACTGACATGTACATCGTAAAATATTTCCACAATCCAAATATTGTTGACCTTTTGCATACAGTATTAGAAAAACAGACGAAACACAAAAAATGAACCTTTACCACTAAACCATGAAAATGAAGTCAAGGTCCGATGACACCAGCCAGTTGGACATGTACACCTTGACACCAGCCAGTTGAACATGTACACCTTGACACCAGCCAGTTGGACATGTACACCTTACAATCATTCCATACACCAAATAGACATACTGCATATATTATATCTGAGATATGGACTTGACCACGAAAACTTAACCTTGTTCATCCATGAAATGAGTACGAGGTCAAGTGAAAACTGCCTGACAGTCATGAGGACCTTGCAAAGTATGCACATACCAAATATAGTTATTCTATTACTCATAATAAGAGAGTCTTCTGAAGCAAAAACTTTAAAAAAATAGTAAAACAAAAATCAAAATAATGAATTACATTGTAAGAGCACACAATTATGATGTCATCATTACTATTGTAATAGTTTAAAGCAAAAACCTGTTTATATCCATGATAACAGAACTTTATAATTTGGAAAGACACCAACATGATGAGGTAGATGTTGTTAAAAGTGTCGATGGTTACTTTAAAAAAAAATTATGATGGCTAACATTTTGTCTTAAATTAAAATTTTTCCAGAACTTCTCCAAAGTTCATTGCCTAAAAAAAAATTTGACAGTTTTAAATATTACATACAAAAAAAATGGAGAATGTGTCAATGGGACACAGATGATGCATATATAAATGTTATAAAGGGACATAAATCGAGAACGGTAAAAGTGACGCCATCCAAATTTTAATCTGATCTGAGTTTTGTGGCAATAAGCAGTATGTATACATTTCATAACATTTGGTTGAGGCTAACTAAAGTTAGAGAACAGAAACGAAAAATTCAGCAATTTTTCCACTTGTAAAGAGGCATAACTCTAGAATGGTAGAAGTGATGCCACCCAAATTCAATCTTGATCTGTGTTTTGTGGTAACAAGCGTTGTGTATAAGTTTCATAACATTTGGTTGAGGAAAACTAAAGTTAGAAAACAGAAACTAATTTTGGGACCAGACGTACGGACAGACAAGGGTAACACTAAATACCCTTCTGCTGCATAAAAATACCTTATAGAATGATGAACTGTCTTCAATAAATTATCCTATGATTTCTTTACTCGGTTAGCATACTTTCAAATCTGAAAAAGATATTAAAAATAAGATTATTTTTTCAAGAAGTATTGGTAGTCTCAAGTTTACTAGAGGTTCCAATGGACCCTGTAATCACTAATCTACATAATCTAGGGATACTTTCATTGGCATTGCCCTTGTATGGATCTTATTGCTAAAATGAATTTGTCTCTTAAACATGTTTAAAGCAAAGTAAAAAAGTATTATAATAAAGGTCCCAATGAGGCTTTTCTGCCTACACTACTATTAGTGTGATACTTGTGAGCAGGATGGATGCGCCATTTTGTCGTAACTATTTAGGTACTAAACAATGATAAAGGTAAACTAGAATGCTTAAATTTATCATTCTCTTTTGTTTTAATGGATTCTTGATTCTTGGATGGGTGAGCAGAAATTCAACAAAAATGCCATAATTTGGGGAAGAATGCACATCTAGTTTGTCTGCATTTGCACCAAAGTTTTGTATGTCAATGTATGTACGATGCTAGAGCAGAGAAATAAAAGAAAAGATAATTATGAAAATCAAATGAATAGAATACCAATTACATAATTTTGGGTTTTTGTCTCGCCTGCTTAGAAAGTCGTGGAAAGTGAGACAAAGGTGTTGCTTTTCCGGAAGCGGTGGATGTGTCAACAATTTTTAAGTATTCTGCTTAAGTCAGTTTGATAAGCACTACTTGTCATGATGATATTTTGTACAAAGTTACATTACTATCAGTACATATCAGTTGGACGACTATTTTGAGGCCCCTCCGCCGTATGTCATAGTCCAGTGAGTTTCATTCTGCGTAAGTTAGTTTGATAGGAACTACTAATCAAGACAGTGATTTACCTCTGTAAGACTATTAGGGTGTGAGACTATATTAACTAATGAGGTGTGGGAACATCGGGGCAACCCCTATTAATCACAGAATTTTATCAATTACTCCATGATTTCATGTCTTATTTTATATTGTGTCAAAAAAAAATTTCATGATCGAATTTGCCTCAACTTTATCTGAATCCTGACCTACGATATGCAACGTAGTGATATCAAAATTGCATCTATTTTGACAGTTTTTTTCTCTTAAATTTATTTAAGAAACAAACAAGTTTCCATTCTGTGCTTATTTTGCATCCTCATGCACTTACTATATCATGTATGAAGTTTCAGATTTCTGAAACTGCTAATGGCCTACAAAAATGCTTTGATAAGCTAAGTTTGTATTGCAGTAGCTGGGATTTAACAGTAAATCTTGACAAAACCAAAGAGATGATTTTTAACAAATCTGGTAAAAAACATTACAAAAGACAAGTTTGTTTTTAATGATAATGTTTTGGAACATTGTGCAGAATATAAATATTTGGGTAAAGTATGTAAACCCTCTGGTATTTTCACTGAGGATGTGTGACTTCTTTGTAAAAAAGCCTCAAAAGCTATATTTTTCTGAAGATATTAATGTACATGTATTAGGGGTGGCACATGTGGAGCAGGATCTGCTCACCCTTCCGGAGCACCTGAGATCCCCCCCCCCCCAGATTTTGTTGGGGTTCGTGTTGCTCAGTCTTTAGTTTTCTATGTTGTGTTTTGTGTACTATTGTTTGTCTGTTGGTCTTTTTTTCATTTTCTCTATTTATAACGGTCCAAAAGATAATAGACAAAACTTGCATTTTACCCCTATGTTCTATTTTTAGCCATGTCGGCCATGTTGGCTGGAAGGCGGGGGTCATCGGACACATTTTTAAAACTAGATACCCTAATGATGATTGTGGCCAAGTTTGGTTAAATTTGTCTTGGTAGTTTCAGAGGAGAACATTTTTGTAAAAGATCACAAAAATTTACAAAAAATTGTAAAAAATTGACTATATAGGGCAATATCTCCTAAGGGGGTCAATTGACCAATTTGGTCATGTTGACTTATTTGTAGATCTTACTTTGCTGTACATTATTGCTGTTTACAATTTATCTGCGTCTATAATAATATTGAAGATAATAACCAGAAACTGCAAAATTTTCTTAAAATTACCAATTCAGGGGCAGCAACCCAACTACTGGTTATCTGACTTGTCTGAAAATTTCAGGGCAGATAGATCTTGACCTGATGAACAAGTTTACACCAATGTTAGATTTGCTCTAAATGCTTTGGTTTCAGAGATATAAGCCAAAATCTACATTTTACCACTATGTTCTATTTTTAGCCATGGCAGCCATCTTGGTTAGTGGGCCGGGTCATCAGACACATTTTTTAAACTAGATACCCCAATGATGATTGTGGCCAAGTTTGGTTAAATTTGGCCCAATAGTTTCAGAGAAGAAGGTTTTTGTAAAAGTTAACAGACGACGATGGACGAGGGACACCAAGTGATGAGAAAAGCTCACTTGGCCCATTAGCTAAAAATAAGAAGATGTGGTATGATTGCCAATGAGACAACTCTCCACAAGAGACCAAATGACAGAGAAATTAACCACTATAGGTCTACGTACGACCTTCAACAATGAGCAAAGCCCATACTGCATAGTCAGCTATAAAAGGCCCCGAAATAACAAATGTAAAAATAAAGTCCTGTTAATGATCTTAAAAATATAAGGCAGTAAGATCAAAGGGAAAATGTAAAAATTGACGATAAAAAATTGTATTTTGGTGTATCTTTTGTGTAACTTATGCCCAATAACTTCCGTTAAGAAAGTTCAAGTTCAGAAATATCTATGACCAGGTACGGATCCATTTTTTTTTTTTTTAAAAAGCCAACGTTTGGAGTGATACTTGTTTAAAGTCTATGCATTATCGTATATCCAAGTCATTGGGGCAAGGGCCCTTTTTGATTGAGGCAAACTAAAGTTACGGTAACAGCAAATTCATCTATTTTAACATCAATGAAACTTAGGGAGCTACCATTTGATTTTTATGGGGGGGCTAGGATGAAAAATTTTGTCCTGCCTATTTATTTTCCCCTCTATTTGGTCCTGCCTTTTTATTTTTCACTCTATTCGGTCCTGCCTTTTTTTTTTTAGTTTATCCTGACTTTTTTTCTGACCCCCCCCCCCCCCCATAAAAATCAAATGGTAGCTCCCTTAAAAGACATTAGAACTGTGAGTTTCTGACTAATGTGGTATCTGGACATCTTTGCTATCCTTATATCGACAAAACAATAACAGACTTTTCATATCTTATTTTTATTGCATCAATTCATTCATCAGGTACCACAAACATTCCAAATTAAAATCATATAAATTTTTTTTTATATGAACACTAACTTGACTTTTGAACTTTAACAATATAAACAGGTAACAAATAAATATGTTCCGCCTGTATGTTATTTTGATAGTATATTGCAAATGTTGAAATTAAAATGGCAATAATTTAACATGTAAGCTATGAAAACTTTCTGTCATGACTGAAGATGCAGTCAAATAATCTCTGGGAAAATGAGAACTGCCAATGCTAATACATATGCATAACAAAAACCATCAACTCATCATAAGTGGTTCTGCTTAAACTGACTTAAACACATAACAAGTAAACTATGCAATAGTTTCAAAGTCATAGTTTAGGGGGCAGAGCCAAATAATCTCCATGGAAATGAGACGTGCTTATGCTAATACAACTCATACCAAATAATTGTTGATCTACCACTAAAAACTTCCACTTAAACTGACCTTATCACAGACTTATAAAATTGAGGATGGAAATGGGGAATATGTCAAAGAGACAACAACCTGACCAAAGAGCAGATAACAGCCAAAGGCCACCAATGGGTCTTCGACACAGTGACAAAATCCCGCACCTGGAGGCGGTATTCAGCTGGCCCCTAAATAAAAATGTGTACTAGTTCAGTGAAAATGGTTGTCATACTATTAAAACGTTATACATCGTTTCCACCGCTGGAAACAGCACATCCAATATTACCTTCATCACTTGTTCATAGAAAGACAAAAAGCTTTAGCAATAATCAAGTTCTTAACTAAAAAATTTTTAAATGTAGTACTATGGTTTACTCATTAGGTCTATATGGAATCATTTTTAGAGGGTATACTATTATATTGAATAAGGTTGAAAATACAAATATAAATAATCAACAACAAAAATTGTAACATTTGTGCAAAACATTGACTACCCTTTTATTGATAAAATTTTCAAAATTATTCTCTTTCATCATCAATACCACACTCAATCTGGTTACTATAATTATGCTACATGACACTTGCAGCTCAGGTTATATTTTACAGAGAATATTGTGCAGTAACTAATGGGTATATGCAACAGGAAATATCAAACACATACTTCTGGTTATATTCTTCAAGAAATTACATAACTATACACATCAAGAATAAAAATGAAGTCAATACACATGATAAATATCTTATGACCTCATTGATATTCTTGCAATATTTGACAATATAAGAAAAAAGTGCTGACTGACTTCATTGACATATATTCATGTAATATTTTACAAAATAAGAAAAAATTACTGACTTCATTGACATATATTCATGTAATAATTTACAATATAAGAACTAGACAAAGTGATGCCCCCGCACTCCACTCTGAAGTAACTGTATTATAACAAAGTCAATATAAGACTTTCTTTGAGATATTATTGTCTGGAGACACAAATGATGCCCCCACAGATGCAAAGTGCTATTTTAAAATGCACAAAGTTGGGCATGGGAGCACCTAGGTCTATGGTTCACTGTAGGAGGAGTTATTCAGAAACGCTATGCACCTCTTATGCAAGTATATACTCCAAAAAAAGTTCAACTATCTCCCAAAAGAGCAAATATCAATAAAAATCAAAACCCTGACCTCATGCACACCTTCAATATATGTAAAAACAGCCAGCAAAGTGAAAACTTCCTAGCATTCAAACTGAATGAGGAGTTATGTGGAATAACTATATACCCAAAGTGAAAACTTTCTAGCATTCAAACTGTAGGAGGAGTTATCTGGAATAGCTGTGCACCTCTTATGCAAGTATATATATTCCATAAATGACAAAGTTAAACTATCTTCCAAAAGAGCAAATATTAATAAAAATCAAAACCCTGACCACATGCACACCTTCAATATATGTACAAAAAGCCAGCAAAGTGAAAACTTCCTAGCTTTCAAACTGTAGGAGGAATTATGTGGAATAACTATATACCCATGATGGACATGATGGAACAGACAGACAGACGGACGGACGAACGGACGGACAGGGGTTAAACAATATGCCCCCCATCCTTTTATTGCGGGGGCATAAAAAAGTGCTAACAGTTTTGTAATACATTAGTAATTGGTAACCATACACATATGAATATGTAAATTACAGAAGTACAAACTATTTCAGAATTTCAAAAAATATTTGTTGAAAGACTACTCTCTTCAGGGTCACAACTGCAAGCTGTTTGTGGCAACATATGACATGATCCATTTCACCAAACCCAGTGCATCATACCAAGGACATGAAGGATTTGTATAGAAAGATACCATACAAATGCTTGATCATACAGATTACGAATAAATATTGTTCTCTAGATATTTTGTAATATTCCATCATACATGTACCTACATGTAGATTAAAAATTGAAATGCAATAACAATGATTTTTTAACACAAAAGAACAAGAGGCTATAAAGAGCATGTGTTGCTCACCTTGATCTATGTGCATATTCAAAAAAGGACACTCTTCAAAATTGTAGATGAGAATAGAACTCATGACAAAAATATGTTTTGTTGATCTTGTATTGTTGATAATTTTTTCTGCTTAGTTTCTCTCTATCTTGTTTAGTTTTTGCCCAAAACACAAAAGAGGGTAAACAAAAATCCTCATTTAAAGGCAATCACTCCTATAAAGAGTGACAGCCCAGTCTACTAACTATATTGGCAAAATTTGACTTGTTAGTATATTGACTTGCTGATCATTTTAGTGATTTAAAGTGTCTATCTATTATAATTTTTATCATATATGGCAAAACACAAAAAAAATTAAAGGGCAATAACTCTAAAAAGGAGTAGTCAGACGATTTATTCCATACTGTCTTAATTGTAGCTGTTGTCTTGCTGTTCTATCTGTCTATTATAATTTTTAAGATAAAAGACAAAAACGCAAAATATTGGTAAAATTTGAAATCAAAGTGCAATAACTCTAATAAGGAGTTGGCTGACGATTTCGACTATGCAGACTTATTTGTAGAACTTATTTTGAAGATCATTTTTGCAGTTTAAAGTCTCTATAATAGTTTTCAAGATAAAAGGCAAATATGAAAAAAAAAAAAAATGGTGAAATATTGTCATTTAAGGACAATAACTCCTATAAGAATTTTTACAGTTTTGACTTCTATGAACAATTGGTAGAGCTCAACATTCTGAACATTACTGCTACTGTCCTATTTTTCTATTTATAAGTTTTCAAAATAATAGACAAAACTTGCATTTTACCCCTATGTTCTAATTTTAGCAAAATCAGCCATCCTAGTTGGCAGGTGGGGTCATCAGACACATTTTTAAAACAACATACCCAAGTGATGATTGAGGCAAAGTTTGGTTAAATTGGGCGCAGTAGATTCAGAAGTCTGAGAAGAGAAGATTTTTTGTAAAAATTATCAACGACGACCGTAGCCAAGTGATTAGAAAAACTCACTTGTACCTTCATCCAGTTTGGGGCAGGTGAGCTAAACAATCATATCATGATTTATTTTTTTTGTCAAGGGAAGGTCATCATCTAAAAATGGACAGTTAACAATTACGCACATTTAATGTTTTTGTACATGTGCAAATAAATAACATGAATAAATTCTACATTATCCATCCAGAAATTTGCCAGTACTAGACTTTTGTCTAAAAAAAAAAAAACAAACAACTTGATCAACTTGATCAAATGATTTGAAAAATATTTTACAGACTATTGATATTAGGACTGTTCTGGACTTGAACAATGCTTAACCAAAAATGTTTGAATTTAAAGATGAATAATTTAATTTTGGATGTAACACGTCTTCTGATTGGCTGACGTTGTTTTGTTTATCAGCTCATAGACATAATTTTGTTATGTGACCGTGACATCATCAACGTTTTTTTCATGGTTTACTCCAGTTTAAAATGGAATTTAGAATTAAATTATAAGAAATGACTGTAATATTTTTTCTGTCTATTCGAAATAACATAAAAATTGTGGTGCACACTTTAAAATAACCCGCTATGCGGTTTATTCAGTGTGCACCACATTTTTGATGTTATTTCAAATAGACAGAAAAAATATTACAGTCATTCCTTAAATAATGGTAGTAATGTTTATAATACGTGACTTGTGTTATGGTAGGTAGTATACTTTGTTTGCCTTAATTTGGTAGGTAAATAGTCTTGGTATTATACCTTGAAGTTTTAAAGGGGCACTAGCTGTCAAATTCATGTTCATCAATTTGACTCAAATTCTCATATTCAATTCAGAACAATGTAAAACATTTATCCAAATTATAAAAAGTCTAAAATAAACAATTTACAGGGCATGGGCTCGATAACTTCGTTTCGTGTGTATTTTAGTCTAGACGCCATCTAATTAACTATCGATTTGACTTCCGAAGACCTCTGATGGCCATATAAGGAATGTAAACATAACTAAAGATATAAATAAGATAGCGAAAGTGTGCAATTGGATTTTTCTAGGTCTGTTTAATTTCGCATTATAGATTAAAACTATATGTAAATCGTCGTTTTTACCTGTATAAGAATGATTTTTTGTGGATCGAATCAGTCAATCAAATTATTTACCTTTGTTTCACATTCAATGTTGACATTCTTTTCCTTTAAATAACTTAACATGCACAATTCATGCGTTATCTATCTCTAGCTAAGGGGTTAATAGAAGTTCACATGAATACGGATTCAATGAGGTCCAATTATTCACTTTCAAGTGAATAATTCATCATCAATGTTTCTGAGCTTATTTTGACAAAATTGAACCATACTGGCTGCTAAAAGCGAATTATTATTTCACTATTTCACTTTCATTAATGATTGAACAAATCATATTTTAGATTTTTTATATATCTCGTAGCTAGTGCCCCTTTAATACCACTGCCCTCAAAATGCATTAATTGTTCTGTTGCTTTTTTCTATCTCTCAAAGCACAGTATAACATAATAATAATGAGACTTAATCATTCATTTGTACCTCAGAAAATAATTTCACACAGTAAACATTGTTTCGACCATCAGAGTGCTTTTTACTGCCACGACTGCCTGAATGTTTCTCTACACATCTTTTTGTCACTAAAAGTAGTTTGGTACTATCATTATTGAAGCTGTGAAATCCAATGATTTCACTATCAGTATTTTTTTCATCCGATTTCAAAAATGCCATATGTATATAGTCCTTCTTTGGATGCATCACTTGTATACCATCAACCATAAGCATAAAGATGTTTCCATCTTGACCAACTGTAACAGCTTTCAGTTTCTCTGGGAAGAAAGAAAATATTTCTGTGCCATCATCCTGGGAAACAACAACTCTTTTGTCGCATATTCCTAGAAAAGTGTTATTTGGTTGAGCAATTACTGACTCAAAAGATAAAGCGAGGTTGACTTCTTGAATTCTACGACCAACAACATCAAATGTTGATAAACAATAATGTTTGTAATCTTTTTTTTCAAACAAAAATAATGCTTTGTGATTTGAGGCTAGCAACAACAGTGTACGATATCCATACACAGGTTGTTTTAAGCACCATATCTTTTTCATTGTTTTTTTGTCTATAAACACCATTTTCAGTCCATCATGATTTTCACTTAACAATACAACGCGATCTAATTTTGGTACACATGTTAAAGCATACACATTACTATCATACTGAGCTTTAGAGGAATTAAAATGACAGCTTTGCATATAATTCATGTCTTCATCATATTTATTAAGTACATGATGTATGTTATGAGCTGGTTCCTCGTCTTCATTTACTACTGACTTGATCACACCTGCTACTAGTATTTGATTGTCATCTGCAACACTGACACACATAACTTTTAGGTTAATGTCATTAGCTGTTTCATTTTCCTGAAGAAAATGTTTGGGATTAATACACAGCTTTTTTTCTAAAAGAAGATTTGGATAATCAGTGGCAGTGCTTTCTTTTCTCTTTATCTTTGAACTCTTTTTAACTTCTTTTTTCCCACATGGCTTTGCAATATTTTCATAGTGGACTGACAAGTATCCTAATGACTTGATAGCATCAATATGATGACTAGCCTCCTTTAATTCTATTTGAACTTTTGAACTAGGTGGTATTCTCAGCATTTTCATTTCTCTCCCTGCCTGTTTCTTTGCTTGATTTTGAACAAATGAGTATATCTGACTTTCAGAACCATTGGCAGTTACAAACTCTAAGGCAGTCTGATCAGCTTGGACTTTCTTCTCCATATTCATCAGTTCTATTTTCTCCTTTTCTGAGTTTTCTTCTCCATCTTTATCCACAGCTGTAAGTTCACTCAACAAAACTTTTTCTAAATCATCTATATGCTGAATAAACTTAGATTTGATATTGGCTATTTCCTTCTTTATTTTCTGTACTTGATTTTTCAACTCTTCTTTTGACACTTTTCTTTCTTCAATAATTTTGTGACTAACTTTGGTCATTTCCTTCATATCATGTCCTATTTTTTTCAGCCAATCAGATTGCTTGATTCCCTTTGCTGCCATGTCAAGATGAGAGACATTTTTACAAGACTTATGACTACTTTGGAAGCATTGATGACAACAGATCAAATCGTGATCCTTGCAGACCATATCTTGTCGTAGGTCCTCATGAATTTCACAGTTAGGTATGGACAACAGCTTATAATGTTCAGGGGATATTTGTTCTGTCATGTCCATTACATGATGGCTTTTAGTAAGTTTAATAACTCTGTGATCCTCTAAACATTTACTACATAGGCCCTCTTCACAATCACTGCACCAACTTGTAGATTTGGATTCCACATCCCGTCTGCTGCATGGATTACAAAACATTTTGAAATCGTCAACTTCCTGAAAAAAGAAGTTTTAATTGACATATCTACATTTTGTATAAAATTTTTAAAATGAAACCAATGCTAGTTTTAAAAAATATGATGCAGTATTTTTTAACTCTATATTATTCTGAAACAATCCAGAAAACCTATAGAGATCTGTACAGTTTGTATGGTGCAGTGATCATGAACAGTTTGTGAAAATAACCATTTTTGGGACCTGTACAAAAATTCTTTTCTACTGGAATACAATTAGCAAAATAGGAAAGGAGTAGAGCCACAAAACCCTTCATTTGGCCCTAAAAATCGAGATGTGTTGAATTAAACAAGAGTGCACATGCTGAAATGTCTCACCTGCTTTACATTGATTTTATGTTGATAGTCCTTAAGTTTTTCAGACATGTACACCTTACAATCATTCCATGCATCAAATACAGTTGACATATTGCTTATACTAGTAGTATCAAAGAAACAAACTTAACCAGGTAAATGTAACATTGACCAATGAACCATGAAAATGAGGTCAAGGTCAGATGATACCTGTCAGACAGACATATACACCTTACAATCATTCCATACACCAAATATAGTTGACCTATTGCTTAAAGTTTAAGAAAAACAGACCAAAACACAAAAACTTAATATTGAGCAATGAACCTTGAAAATGATGTCAACGACAACTTAAACCTGCCAAACTGACATGCACATCGTAAAATATTGCCATAATCCAAATATTGTTGACCTATTGCATACAGTATTAGAAAAACAGACGAAACACAAAAAATGAACCTTTACTACTAAACCATGAAAATGAGGTCAAGGTCAGATGACACCAGCCAGTTGGACATGTAACCTTACATTCATTCCATACACCAAATATAATAGACATACTGCATATATAGTTTCTGAGATATGGACTTGACCACGAAAAATTAACCCTGTTCACTGATCCATGAAATGAGGAAGAGGTCAAGTTAAAAACTGCCTGACTGTCATGAGGACCTTGCAAAGTATGCACATACCAAATATAGTTATTCTGTTACTCATAATAAGAGAGTCTTCTAAAGCAAAAACTTTAAAAAAGTAGTAAAACAAAAATCAAAATAATGAATTACATTGTAAGAGCACACAATTATGATGTCATCATCACATCATTACTATTGTAATAGTTTAAAGCAAAAACCTGTTTATATCCATGATAACAGAACTTTATAATTTGGAAAGACACCAACATGATGAGGTAGATGTTGTTAAAGTGTCCATGGTTACTTTAAAAACAAAAATTATGATGGCTAACATTTTGTCTTAAATTAAAATTCTTTTAAACATTACATACAAAAATAATGGAGAATGTGTCCATGGGACACAGATGATGCATATAACGTTATAAAGGGACATAAATCGAGAACGGTAAAAGTGACGCCATCCAAATTTTAACTTGATCTGAGTTTTGTGGCAATAAGCATTATGTATACATTTCATAACATTTGGTTGAGGCTAACTAAGCAATTTTTCCACTTGTTAAAGGGCATAACTCTAGAACGGTAGAAGTGACGCCACCCAAATTCAATCTTGATCTATGTTTTGTGGTAACAAGCATTGTGTATAAGTTTCATAACATGTGGTTGAGGCAAACTTAAGTTAGAAAACAGAAACTAATTTTGGGACCAGACGTACAGACAGACAAGGGTAACACTAAATTACCCTTCTGCTGCAGCGGGGACATAAAAATACCTTATAGAATGATGAACTGTCTTCAATAAATCTTCCTATGATTTCTTTACTCGGTTAGCATACTTTCACATCTGAAAAAGATAATAAAAATAAGATTATTTTTTCAAGAAATATTGGTAGTCTCAAGTTTACTAGAGGTTCTAATGGAGCCTGTAATCACTAATCTACATGATCTAGGGATACTCTCATTGGCATTGCTCTTGTATGGATCTTATTGCTAAAATGAATTTGTCTCTTAAACATGTTTAAAGCAAAGTAAAAAAGTATTATAATAAAGGTCCCAATGAGGCTTTTCTGCCTACATAAGTGTGGTACTTGTGAGCAGGATGGATGCTCCATTTTGTCTCAACTATTTAGGTAATAAACAATGATAAAGGTAAACTAGAACGCTTAATTTTATCATTCTCTTTTGTATTAATGGATTCAACAAAAATGCCATAATTTGGGGACGAACGCACACCTAGTTTGTCTGCATTTGCACCAAAGTTTGTATGTCAATGTATGTACGATGCCAGAGCAGAGAAATAAAAGAAAAGATAATTATGAAAATCAAATGAATAGAATACCAATTACATAATTTTGGGTTTTTGTCTAGCCTGCTAAGAAAGTCGAGGAAAGTGAGACAAAGGTGTTGCTTTTCCGGTGGAGATGGATGTGTCAACAATTTTTAAGTATTCTGCTTAAGTCAGTTTGATAGGCACTACTTGTGATGATGATATTTTGTACAAAGTTACAATACTAACAGTACATATCAGTTTGATGACTATTTTGAGGCCCCTCCCCCGTATGTCATAGTCCAGCGAGTTTCAATTAATTACCAATTTTCAATGTTAAGTTTTCTGCTTCTTAGGTAGATGGCATGTCTAAATTAAAATCCATAGAATTTTTTAATAATTTGCCCAAATGTAGTTTATTTCATGCTCTTTTAAAAAAAATAATAAAAAGAATGGGTCACTGGGCTTATTTTCACGCTACAGGTTGTGCAAAATTGACAGATTTTTGTATAGATTATGCATGCAAAACCCAATTTTCTGCCATAAAACGAAAACTACACCATAGAATTTTGAGATAAAATATGAGAAGATAGCTCTAATATTATGCTTTCAGATTAGAAAAAGAAAAAATGGGGTCACAGGACCCGTTTTCTTGCTACATAATAAAATAGGTAAATTCCTAACACATTCTATTGTAAAAGTAACTTTATCTGAATTATCTGCCCTTACATTTGAGTTGCCTCCCCTTATGTGACAAAGTTGGAAAAAATTGAATCAAACAAAAGTATTCTATTTTTTGGTAAAATACAACCATAAATATGATTCTTACACATGAATTACCGACTACTCTCAAAATTTGCACATTTTATTAAAGATCTAGACCGATTGTTTTCTGGTATTTCAAAATCCAAGATGGAGGAAGACACCCTATCTACCTTAAGTTAGTTTGATAGAAACTACTAATCAAGACAGTGATTTACCTCTGTAAGACTTTAAGGGTGTGAGACTATATAAACTAATGAGGTGTGGGAACATCGGGGCAACCCCTATTAATCACAGAATCTTATCAATTACTCCATGATTTCATGTCTTATTTTACATTGTGTCAGAAAAAATTTTCATGATCGAAAATGCCTCAAACTTTATCTGAATCCTGACCTACGATATGTAACATAGTCATATCAAAATTGCACCTATTTTGACAGTTTTTTTCCCTTAAATTTATTTAAGAAACAAACAAGTTTCCATTCTGTGTTTATTTTGCATCCTCACTTACTATATCATGTATGAAGTTCCAGATTTCTGAAACTGCTAATGGCCTACAAAAATGCTTTGATAAGCTAAGTTTATATTGCAGTAGCTGGGATTTAACAGTAAATCTTGATAAAACCAAAGTGATGATTTTTAACAAATCTGGTAAAAAACATTACAAAAGACAAGTTTGTTTTTAATGATAAATGTTT